GGAAAAATCAGAGATCAGACGGGAACCCTGGAACACGGCACCCGCGCGACAACACTCTTTCACCCTCCTCTTCACGGTGATCCTTTCTTGACGGGTACTTTTTTTCGCTTACCTTTTGCTCTTCGCTCGTCACCTTTGCGTTTATCGTCGTTCCCTCCTTTTTTCTCTCTTTTTACGTCTAGGGTTTCGTTCAGCTTGCTACTTGTTCACCGTTCTTCGTTAGCGACGCTACCACGGAAAAACGGGTGGAGAAGTATATACACGCCAGTCGGTTGTACACTGTCAAAAAGGAAACAAACACTGGCAAGCCGGGCGCGAGCGCTCCCCGGCCACGCACACGCACGACCGGGAGCGGGAGTCCACACGGACGAGAGGAACAACCGACGGCACCCGGCGACTTCTGACGAGGGCCGGCACACGCGAGTATATTTATTTATGCTCTCCTTGTATTTCGTGCACTTTGGATCGCGATCCCGAAATAGTGTGATATAGTTCCCTCGCCGCAGAAACCACACGTCCACCACGTCCAGGGTGTTCCTCTTCACTAGGGGCCTGGAACGATCGCGGTTGAACCAGCGTTTCGACCCTGTAGCGACTCGATTTCGCGCGCAAGATATATTCTCGCAAACGAGAAGAACGTGTCCGTGTTGCGGCGCGTTGTTCGACAGCAGGGTCGCATTAAGATTCACGTAGAACCTTAGACACTATTTACAATATCGTCTTCTTCAATTTGCTTTTTTCGGTAGAAAATGCGATCGACAATCACATGAGAGTACAAAATATTTTGATCCTGAAGCTGTTCACTTCTTCCTCTTCTTCTTCTTTTTTCTCTGAGTACAAAGAAAACTGACCGGCGGTATCGTCGTAGGCCCTAGGCACGGTGCCTAATAGATCGACGCGGCCCTGTTTGGCAGAGTTACGCCGGATCAGAACGTAGAAGTAACGGTATATGTCTTTACCCTAGTGGGTCTTCGTACCGATATCTTTTTGCGTACGCGGTGAACAAGGTTAGGTCGGTTCCGTCTGCCGACCTTGAACTCTTATTTACCTATGGTGGCCAGCGTACACAGATACTGGTCGTTGGCCGAGTGGTCGACGCGGGTGGCGTGCGTTTGTGACGCGCTGCTACCGCCCGCTGATCGGCGTAGTACAATAAATCGCGCGACACCGATTCAACCGCGACGATCTCGATCGATCTCGCCGACTTGTCTCATCATTCGAGACCGATCACTTGTTTCTCTGGTTGAAGTGCGGTTGGATGTGTTAGGCACCAAGAAAACGTGGCGCCGTCACACGGAGTAGTGCGTTTCGAATCGGTGACACTAGTGTTGTCCAACGAACCGGCGTTGAAACGTGCTCGATGATGTGGTGGATAGGTCCGAACGCGCAACGCATAATACAAACAAGTGAGAAGAAGGCACGAAACGGTTTTTCGCGTGGACGTCGAAACAGGCTTCGTCAGTTCATTCGTTTCGTTCTGTCCGTGGATGTGTGGCGCACGGTGCAACGGTCGACGTCGAGGTTACGGACGCCGCGGCACTAATAGTATCACCGATACACTTTCTTATCCGTGGCTGGCTGGTAGGCTGGTCTGGATGGTACCAGCACGGATCGGTGGCGCTCCTCCTCGCACACGACACCGGTTCTTGACTTTTCCACACGACGGTTGTTATATGTATGTATATCGACAGGCGGCCGCGGTTGGTGCCTTAACCTCGCGACCCGGCATACAACCACGCAACACCGCGCACGCGAGCGGCGAACGCGCCCGCGTGTCTCTATATACGTGTATGTGTGCGCGCGCGCGACCGCAACTTGCTAGAGTATACGGTGCGTGCAACCTGTGTGCGGTGCGCGTGGTGTAATAGATTCACGATCAGAAATCGGTCTCGTGATAAATCTTGCTGTTCTTCGAGTTTTTTCGGTCCGCATTTAAGAGATCACTCTACTGGAGACGACAGTGTGCCACACCGGTTGATTAATGTCTTTTGAATCTCGGACGTCTAGAGCCCCCGGTACACGAGGTTGGTGACGTTTTCGTTCTTGGTACTCCTTTGCCCGTGCCGTCGCCAATGCCGGTGCACCGGCGCCGCATAACAACAACAACAATAGTAACAATAATAACGACGACGATGACGACGACGACGACGAAGACGACAGCGACACTTTAACCTCAAATCCGAGATTGTCGCGTCGATCACTCCCCGTCATCCGTATACGCGTATCACCGAGTGACA